ATGACCAAAGTAAGCGCATCCTTCCTTATCAGCCTTTTTATGTCTTCTATAAGTATAATAAGTATAAGATTAACATGGACACGATAAAAAAGATACTACTCAAGCCACTTGCCTGGTTTTGCGATCCCATCCAAAAGCTGTCTTTCTGCCTCCAGAGTTTCTGGCCGATTAGATAAATCCAATTTGCGCCGCTTCGTTTCCGAACCACGCTCATGCTGCGGCGGCAGTCCGTGAGAATGTGAAACAGCAGCTGGAAGAGGTCCAGAAACTGGTGCTACTGTTTTAGCAACTGGCTGAAAATCAACCTCGGGTAGACGGCGACCGCCAGCTTGCTCACAGGCTAATAGCCATTCTGAAGAAACGAGCAATTTTCTGTCGGCCAGGGCCTCGACTACGTCGTCATACAACTGCCGACCGGCCGAATTAGCAAAAGCAGCTCCCTGGCTCATAGCAGAGCTACATGGAGAGGTAGCTTCTGCTCGTGCTCCAATTCCAGCCCCGGACGGAGATTCCAAGCAAGTCGGATCGATAAAATCGGCAATCACATGTGTGCAGACCTGGACAAAAAATGGAAGCTTTAGCGCACAACAATATGAACATAGAAAGAACAGTTGGAAAGTACTGAAAATACAAAGTCTTAAGAATGAACAGAGAATTTTGGGAATCCCATCAGCATATTGAATCTCGTTCATTCATCAGAGTTATGCCATTTCAGTAATGCAATATTCGGCTTCGATCAAGACCATGCATCCCCTAACAATATATGCTTATAAAAGACCTTTAGTCAATCTAAATCTCTGACTAAAGACTGATGGTTAATTTTTCCACAATGAGATGAGTAGGCTTCAATATCACATTGAATCTTGCATAGCCTTGCGTCCCATAGGGTAATATGCTGAAAATATCTGCCGCAGTAACCGAATTCGATTTATCGCAGTCCACCTTGAATCATAATACCTTATGGGAGGCAATGATAAGTAAAATTCAATGGAATCCTGGGGCCTTCTCATCTCATTGCGGGAAATTTCGTCATTAGTCCTTC